GGAGGTAATGCCAAATGTGGAACATAGGTTCTGTATGAAGCATATTTACTCCAATTTCAGAGCAAAGTTTAAAGGGATTGAATTGAGGGACCTATTGTGGAAGGCAGTTACAGCTGGGACTGTAAGGGAATTTGAATTTCACATGAACAAGTTGAAGGAGATAGATCCAGAAGAGAAAGCATACAAGTGGCTAAGGAAGATAGATCCTATTTTATGGACTAGGTCCCATTTCAGCCCAAAAAGTAGGTGTGATACATTGGTCAACAACATGTGTGAGTCATTCAATAATAACATCTTGGAAGCTAGGGACAAACCCATAATCAGCATGCTTGAATGGATTAGAAGGATGGTAATGCACGGGATCCAAATCAAGAAGGAATGGATGGAAAAATACACTGATGAAATTTGTCCCAACATTGTCAAAGATTTAGAAGCACTGAAAGTGCAAACTAGGAATTGTTTTGCAACCTATTGTGGTGACAGAAAATTTGAAGTAAATTGTGGTGATAACACACACATTGTTGATTTGGAGGAAAGGAAATGTAGTTGTAGGATATGGGATTTGACTGGAATACCTTGTAAACATGCAATAAGTTCCATATTTGTTCAAAGAGAGAAGCCAGAGGACTATGTTCACTCTTATTACAATAAGCAACATTATCTTGTAGCCTATAACTCAATGATGCACCCTGTTCCAGGCCAGCATGATTGGGTTGAAATAGGATTGCCAGCAGTGGCTCCTCCATTGTACAGAAAGTAGCCTGGAAGACCACCAAAAATGAGAAAGAAGGGTATAGATGAGCCAATAAACATTGTCAGAGTTTCAAGGCAGAATAGGTTCATTGTTTGTGCTAGATGCCTTTAGAAATGTCACAACCAAAGGTCTTGTAAGGGTCTTGTCCATCCCAAGTCCAAGCTTTTTAAGCCAACGAGAAGTAACCAGTAACAACCATCTTCAGTAACAACAGCAACAGCAACAGCAACTGTAACAGCAATTGCTTCATCAACACTAGCAATAGCAACAGCAATAGCATATCAAGTAACCTGAACCTCCAATTTCATTTCATTTTGCAATACATTCCACAACAATGACTTAATACAGATATAAATCATTGCAGCTCAGAAGGAAGCTCCCTAGTAAGAGGGCCAACACATCCTCATCTCAAGTAAGATTTGTCCACTTTGCATACTTGTTGCATCATTGTAGCCCAGTTCTATTGTTAATTTGCATACTTGTTACATCAATGTAGCCCACTGGAATTGGCCACACATTTGAAGAATTTCCAAGTATGACTGGCAACACATCAGCATCTCAGGTAAGCTCTCTCTCCTATGGGTGTCATTTGGTTTTTGACATAGTTGACAACATATAATTACTTACTTGGACCATTATCATTGCAGGCCGGTAGAGTTTAATACAGTTCTCCAGAATTTGATTACTCATCGTCTCAGGTATATTCAAATTTCATTTGCAAGTTCATTTGCTTTTATAGTATTTCACAAAATGTAATTGGATACTTCTGTGTGTTGCTTTGCAGTCCACTAGTTATGGCAGAGGAATGGGTGAACCAGTTGGAGATGGCAGGGTTATGTCCAGATCTGCATTAAGAGGTAGCTTCATTACAAGAGGTAGAAGAGAAGGTGGCTCTGCAAAAGTTACAACTCAAAGGCAAACTGACAAAGGCAAAGGGAAAGCATGATGGTAGAGAAAGCTACAACTCAGCTTTTGTTGTGTTTTGAGTATTTTTCAACTTGTTAAACCATTAAGTGGCTTGCACCAATTTGTTTTTGAATTTGAAACTGGCTAGTATCTTAGTTTATTATGTTTTGAGAAGCCCAAATATTTTACAAGATCCAAATCAAGCATGTTTTTGTGTACCATTATTAATACATGTATCTTAGTTTACTATGTTTTTGGATTGAAACATGTTTTTGAATTATGTTTCAAATCAAGGAAATGAAGCATGTTTTGGGGTTGAAGCAAATGAAGCATGTTTCACAAGATCCAAATCAAGTAGGTTTACTTTCTTGACCAAAACATTCTTTCATTACAAATGAAGCATGTTTCAAATAGGGGAACAATGGGAACCAATATGTTTATATTCTTTAATGTTTTTGGAAGATGTAATCAACAAAACATTCTTTCATTACAATTTCTTTGGTTTATCAGATGCATACATTTCTTAACCAAAACATTCTTTCATTACAATTGCCTCACAGACCATTGCACACCTTCATTTTATACCTTGACTATATTTTTCATCTCTCAAACTCTATGGCCCAATAACTATCAATTTTTCTTTATTTCAGCAAACTTCACCCCAAACATTGTCATGATAAAGAAAAAAATCCATGTCCCAAAGAGAGCTTTGCAAAACATTTTCTTCCTTCTACGACTTCTTGATAGTTCCTTCTCCAATCTGTTCATCTTTACAACCATTTTTGGCAACACCTCTCTCCCACGTTGGCACATGGGTGGATCAACCCATTCAAAGTAGCCACAAGTTACATCAACCTATAATAAAAAAATATGAGTCCACAAATTCCTTTTCAAAAAAAATTCAATCTTTTTTTCCAAAAAAAAATTTTAAAAAAAATTATGTTTTGCTTACCCCATATCTTGCACAACCGTAAAACATTTTACCTATATTTCTAGATGTCATTGAAGTCTTAATAGGGGATCTCTCTCCACAATAACATAGTCTTGGAGTATTTGTCCTTGACTGTCCACTTTCGGAAGCAAATGAAGAAACCATCCAACAATAACCTTCAACTTTGGGAAAATCTGGGCAGCTTTCGGACAATGTGGGAAAATTTCAATTTAGGGTTCTATTTTATTTGGGTCTTGATTTGTGTATATATGGCAATAAGGGTGTTTTGGTCATTTGCCATATGTTTTTGGGCGGGAAAACGTACTCCACTCACCTGTTCCGGTCGTGCAACACACGCACTGTTTAAACAAACAGTTCCCTTGGATTTTGCACTCTGGTATGAAATATAGGGGGTTTCAGTGTTACAAATGAAACTATAGGGCGGCTCCATGCTTTTGAGGCAAACCACAGGGGTTAAATTATAATTTACCCTAAAATGTATTACTTTAAACTTGTACGACTTTATAATTAAAAGAGTATGTATGTATTTATAAATAAAATGATAAAGTAATATTTATTAATAATTGAAGAGGTCTTAATGTCATTAGAATTATAAATAATGAAAAAAAAATAAAAAGAAAATTTTAATTTTTGGAAGAGGGTGTAATGAGAAGATGGGTATAAGGATATGAAATTGTGGTATAAGATCTCCAACGGTTCACCATTTTTTTCATCAAATATGAGTAAAAAAAGGCAAGTTTCTCAATCTAATATCAGCCGCTCCAACGGTGCACTGTAACTTTCATTTAAAGACAGTAGACGTCTGGGGGGACGACTGGTCGGTCGACCGGAAAAGGAAAATGTTTTTTTTTTTTGGATTTTGTGAACTGAGTTTTTCTCAATGAAGTGTCTATGAGGGGATCTGAAATGGGTTTTTCATGGGTTTTATGAGGTATGAAGCTGTAAAGCGGCGAAAAGTTAAAAAAAAACTGAGGAGTCAGAAGAAACAAAAGGGATCAAGATTGATTTTGACCAAACAAGCTTGGTTTTAATTACGAAAATTTGGAGATGTTTCTAAAAAAAAATCAGAACAGAAAGTGAATGAAAGTGCAAAAAGAATTCAAAGCTTTGAACTTTCAACTTCCATTAACGAACCCCATTATGAACACTTTGTTTCAGGGGTGATTTGTGGAAGAAGAATTAAAAAAGAAAAGAGAGACGTTTCAGAGAAGAAATTTGGACTCCCAAACTTCATATATAGGAAGAGAAAACTCCTCTGTCTCTCTATCTTGCTGTTTCCCTTCAATCTCAATACCTGTAGAGAGAGTATTTTATTATCACTATCTCTGTTAAAACCTCAATACACTTCATCGAATTTGTTTACTCAAAAAAGATACAAAGGTGGTTGACCGAGAGGTTGACCAAGGGGTCGACCTCTTAATGTAAAATTTTCATAAAATTTTGTTTCAGGTAGTCATCTGAGAGGACATCTGGCCGGACGTCCGATGGTCCACACTCAACGGCTCTACACAGTAAATTGCTGAAAGGTGCAAAAGATCTTCAATTTTGTGAAAATTTTAGAGTGTTCTCAATTTGATATCGTTTTGGTGAAACCATTAGAACACAAAAAGTATATATTTTTCACCAAATTTGAATTTGATAATGAATTTGGTGAACGGTTGGAGATGGTCTAAATATAAACTCTTTGACAAAAACTAGTCATTACTACAAAATACCAATCAGTATGTTTGGTTTTAATTTTTTGGGCAAATTACATATACACCCCTCGAGGTTTGGCTAAATTACAAATACCCCCTTGAGGTTTGAGAAATTACGAATTCCCCCCTGAATACTATATTTGCATAAGAAATTAGGGGGTAATTTGTTATGAAATATAAACCTCAGGGCGTGAGAACAAAGAAAAAAATAATAAACAGCAATGATAGAGACCATTAAAAAATCCAATCACTAATAGCTCTAATGAGTTGGAAAATATAAAAAATAAAAGAAAAAAGAAAAATACAAGAGACAACCATCACATCAAATGGAGAGCCACCTCATTAGTGCTCCCTTTTTAGTGTTCCCAAGCATTAATCATACACAAAATACGAAAAATATACTAAATTTTCATATATTTTTTTTTGTATTTTTGATATTTAATAATTTTTTTTAAGATTTTTTTTTTCACAAATATCATATTTTTTAAGTATATTTATATTAATGTACCTAAAAAATAAAATATTATTTAAAATATTAAAAAAATTCAATAAAAATAAAAAAAAATTAATTTTTAGACAAATAAATCTTAAAAGCTGAATAACATTCGGGCCAGTTCAGCAATAAGACAAAATACAGGGAATTCAATTTCAATTTCACTTTTATATCTCGATCACAAGAAAGCTAGGGTTAGGGCTTCTTTCCTTTCTCATACTCTGTCTGTCTGTCTGTCTCTCTCTCTCTCTCTCTCTCTCTCTACCTACCTCCCTCTCCATTCAAGCAATCTCAAATACACCATGCCAAAGAACAAGGGAAAGGGAGGGAAGAACCGCAAGAGAGGGAAGAACGAGGCCGACGACGAGAAGCGCGAGCTGGTCTTCAAGGAAGACGGTCAAGAGTACGCTCAGGTCCTCCGGATGCTCGGAAACGGGCGGTGCGAGGCCATGTGCATCGACGGGACCAAGCGGCTCGGCCACATCCGCGGCAAGATGCACAAGAAGGTGTGGATCGCCGCCGGAGACATCATACTCGTCGGACTCAGGGATTACCAGGATGATAAGGCTGACGTCATCCTCAAGTACATGCCCGACGAGGCTAGGCTGTTGAAGGCGTACGGAGAGCTTCCGGAGAACACGAGGCTCAACGAGGGGATTGCTGGTGGGCTCGATGAGGAAGACGATGGTGCTGGTGATGATTACATTGAGTTTGAAGACGAAGATATCGATAAGATCTGATCTGAAGAATTACAACAGTCTTTGTTTGTGAAATAATCAATCGACTATGATTTTTGCTTTTTGTTTTTAATTGATGGTATGATTATGATTATGGTGGTTTTGAAGTATAAGTAAGCAAATTGAAAACTTGTTTGATTTTTCCTCAGCATCTGAGACTTTGAATATAGGATGATTTATGCAAGTTTCATTTGGATTTGTTGTGATGTCTAATGGATTTTTGGTGCTTTTCTGCAGAATATTCATTTAATAAAAAATTAATTGTACATTTTAATATTATTTTTACTTAAAATTCCTTTTTTTTTTAAAAAAAACGAATACTTAAAAGTCTATTCATTCAACTAAATAAAAAAGGGACAATTTCAAAGAAATGGAGACTGAAATACTTAAAAGTTTATTTGCAATCGAAGGGCGTTTGGCAACTTGGTAAAGGTTTGGGGTTAAAATCTTAAATTTCAAGTTCAAAACTCTTTGGACCAATCTTATAGGCATAGGCTAGTTGGTTAGAAGGTTAACCTCAAGTTGTTGTTATTACAATACTGGTTAACCTCAAGTTGTTGTTACTACAATACTTGGTGTGGGCTCAATGTTCTGCAAGGGGTTCCTGTAACCAAAAAAAGTCTATTTGCATAATTGAATTCCATAAATCCCTTATATCTTTATCATTTTATAACTATTTTTTCACTTTCTATTTTTTTAATATTCTCTCAATAAAAAACATGTGATAAATTATAAATATATTATTTAAAATACAAATTATTTCTTATAATTTTAGAAATTAATTGTATAGGAATAACTAGGAATTTTATTTTATTTTTGTAGAGAATATTTTTAAATTTCTAAAACTAGAAGAGACAATTATGTTTAAGCAAATTTAAAAAAATATTTTTAATTTACCCAAAAATATATAAAATAGTAACATCCACGATTAAATATATTTTTCATAAATAATTAGACATTCAAAAAATTTCACAAATAATATCTTCTTACACTAATATTTTTAACCATAATAGTTGCCAGGATGAGAAATTACAAAAATATGATTCTTAGACTAAACTTAATGAACATAAGATTATAAGCGAATTAAAGTTGATTTTAAAATTCAAACATCTGATCTAGTCTTTGGTAAACCCCTAATCACAGCATTCAGTTTGATAACCAACCTTCATTAAGAAACTTGAATAACAAAAAAGACTCGCTCAACAATAATCCAAAATATATGGAGTATTCACAGAGAGTCTTCTCAGTGGTTGAATATCCGGTATCAAATTCTGGCACTTCTACTCCCACAGATGGGACCAAAAGCTTCCTCTTACATGTATTCTTGTCTATATATCTCAATGATTAATCGGCACACAAGAAGCTACGTAATACACACTAATATTACAAGTAATACAATATCAAACCATGAAAATGAAGTCATGTGACAAAGGCAATCCCCATCAACTGAAACTCATCAAGAAAATCCAGCAGACCTTCCCGCTGGCCATATCTCAAATGTCAACCATTGAAAAGTCTATCTATCAATTCCTCTGTATAACATGACATTATCTTCACTACGCAATTGTACACTCGTGTTGTTGACCAATTCAAGCATATATCGGATGGAAAAAAAGAGGCAAAAGCTCCACAAACTAATTTCATAGAAAGTAATCCGGTGCAGGTTTTTTAGCAGGAGCCCCTCTTGATTCCTGCATTTCACAATGATCTCTTAATGGACAAGAAGTCAAAAGGAAAATTAATAATGCAGAATATGTATCAAGAAACTCTATGCCTCTCAACTACATGGAAATATACAGTACTACTGGCCATTAAAGTCTTGAAGAACACAAGAAAAGAGACAGAAAATGGCACTCCCATGTACATCGGGAATCTGTTCTGAGTGCTGTTGATCAAGATGACAAAAAGATGCAATCAATTTTTTCATCCAACCAACTACATAAACAAACCTGTGGCGCTGCATCAAACACGCGAAACTGCTTGTCAAGATTTTCATCCAGCTCAAGAATTGCAGCTACGTTACCACATCTGCAACATAACTGCATGTGAATAAAGAATCTGGCTATTGAACACCGTGAAAGAGAAAATAGTCCAAATTAGTTGTCACCTGTAACAATAATTTGGAGCTGACCAGACAGTAACAATCTGGCTGTTGAACATCCATTTATAGCCTTCCATTACCAACTGATGAGCACGACATATATAGTCAATGTTATTTGCGTGGTTAAATGTCGTGACAACACTGCCACCAAATAAGAAACCAGCGCCACGGGGACTCAAGCCCCAACTCTCGACTACATCTTCTGGATCTGACCATAAGAGGTCACACATGGCACCATCATGAGGTACTTCTTGCTTCCGATCAATTGTTCGAATCTGGCCAGTAGGTCATGTTAACAATCAAAAAAAGAGTTTTCTTGGCAATATAAAATACTAATAGAATAACATCAGAAAATTGAAAAGAAAAACAACCATATGATGGAGGATGACTTAACAGACCTGGTCCAATGTGGAAATGGAAGGAGAAAGACCACCATGAACACAAAATATTTTGTTCTCAATGAGGGCAGACAGACTGCAGTGAAGCACATTGAAATTCAAAAACCGCAAGTAAAGACCTAAAAAATTTAATCTTAATCAAGGCTGTATTTGAAAGCAACTTCATTGAAACCTTAAGAGAAATGATAATGTCCTCTTTTAGATGCAACTTTAAGAAGATATTATGAATGTTGAATATATATATCTTTGACCACATGTGTATTTCGTCATGGCTTCCTGGAGTTTCTCAAAGAAAGCAGGTGTTATTGGCTTCTTTTAACAATTGCTTAAGAGTGAAACTTCTGGGGAAAAAAAAATTGCAACAAAAAGTTCGATGAAAGTTAGGCACATGCTTCCAAACATACCATGACATGACGACAATGAGAAATCACAAATCATGGCAAGTGGGATACACGGGTAACTATGGACACAAACACAGACATTATTGTCATCTAAAATATGAACTCTCTAGCAAGGGAACAAAGCAAAAGCAGGAGTTTCCTTGTTACAAAGCATGTTATAAAAGTTCAACAGCAAACATGAGATTCATTCAATTGCCCCATGGCCTAACCAAAGATTTCTCAATCACAGCACCAATTCAAGTTTGTGATTCTAAATATCAAACTGATTAACAAATACAAACCTTTTAACATCTGACCATTCAGCAGATGAAAAATGATTAGGTGAGAATGATGGTTATCATTTGGATTGCTAGTGTCCAAAAATCACTAACACATGTAATCCAATCGCTTAAAAAAAAATAGAAATAACCCTTGGATTTTATGTCTTTCATTAGACAGATAACTCGTGACATCTTGTAAGGAAACTGACAAACCTCAAGTAATCAAATATATCAGTGCAATATCTCCACACGTTCACTGAGCCATACTTCCGTAGGCACTCATCATAGAATCCATATACCTGGCAAGAGAGGAAGGCCAAAAAAGTTAGCTAAGCATATAGAACTCAAACTAGACAAATCAATTAATAAGACTTAACCTGTGTGATCTGGCGGCTCTCATGGTTTCCCCTTATGAGAGTTATCCGATCTGGATATCTGACCTGGTTGAGAAGAAGAAGAAGGAAGGATAATAAACAAATAAGACTAACATTACAACTCCATAAAAACTTCATATATGCATAAGCAAGTAATGCTTTGCAATCTTGGATAGGTCCTGCTAACAACCGCCCATTGGAAATTTGTTAACAACCAAATAATACAAAAAAAGTTAGAATTCCAATACACATTTCACATGCTCCCATATACTTTATATATTTTTATACATTTCACCATTGCAAATATAACAAGGTGCTGATTAGGGAATATATAGCAGTGACGATGCATAGGTCATGTGTGCAAGAAACCATGCTGTAGATTCAATGTTCATACTATGGAAAGACGGCTAGGGTTCTACACGTTTGCACATTTTGGAATTCTAGAGAGAGCGCACATTCCTCTCTCCAATCCTTATACAGAAATGAGACAAAAAAGGGCCTTGTGGTATATTAAGACGGATTAGCTTCAGGATTAACTTAAATACAGCATGAGTTTGAAAGCTTCTACGCCCCATTTGTTAGACCTCCATAATGTATGCCATAATATATGCTGATTATGGAAGCATTTACCAGGTTGTTGTCTCGGGGGGTGCAAGAAGGTTTATTGAAAGGTTTCCATGTAGGGGGAGTGCAAGGGGATTCGGTAATGATTTCTCACCTTTTGTATGCTGATGATGCTATGAACTTTTGTGGGGCTTCTCCGGAGTAGCGGGGCCATTTGCGGTGTGTTTTGCTATGTTTCGAGGCAGTGTCGAGGCTAAAGGTAAATTTGGCAAAGTTGGAATTGATTCTGGTTGGGGAGGTGGGTCCGATCAACACTCTAGCAACTATTTTGGGCTGCAACTTGTCAGTGTCTTATTTAGGGTTACCTTTGGGGGCTTCTTTCAAAGATAAGCATGTATGGGATGGGGTTATTAAAAGGGTTCAGCGGCGTTTGGCGGGCTGGAAGAGACGGTATTTGTCTAGGGTGGGAGGTTAACTTTGGTCAAGAGTGTTTTGGGGAGTATTCCTACTTATTTTATGTTGGTTCATGTTATTCCAGTCTCCGTGGCTCGCTTTTGGAGAAATTGCAGCAGGATTTGCTGTGGAGGGGTGGTGGGGAGGAGTTTAAGTATCACTTGGTTTGATGGGAGCAGATTTGTTGTCCAAACGAAGTAGAGGGTTTGGGCTTGAGGCGGTTGGACAAGTTTAATTCTGTCTTGCTGGGAAAGTGGTTGTAGAGGTTTGCTTGGGAGAGAGATAAGTTGTGGAGTAGGGTGGCGGCGGCAAAGTATGGGGTCAGTAATGGTGATTGGAGTACAAAGCAGGTAAGGGGGTCTCATGGGTGTGGGTTGTGAAAAGGTATTTGGTTGGGGAGGGGGGAATTTTGGGAACATGTTCATTTTCAAGTGGGTTCTGGTGTAAGGATTCAGTTTTGGAAGGATCGGTGATGTGGTGGAAAGGTGTTACAGGACTGTTTTCCGCTCATTTTTCGTCTTGCGGTGGATCCTGATGTGGTGGTGGCTTCTTATATGGGGGCGGTTGGGGGCAGGTGATTTGGGATCTTGCTCTTCATCATCAGCCCCAGGATTAGGAGTTTGAGCAAATGATGGATTTGTTGGCTTTTCTTTATGAGTTTCCAGTGGGTCGTTTGGGAGGTGATGTTATGGTTTGGGGAGGGCCAAGTTCAAAGGGTGTTTTCTCGGTTTCTTCATTTCACCGGATTCTGTGTGGGCCGGCGAAGGAGGAGTTTCCTTAGCATTAAATTTAGGTCATAGGTGTTCATTCTAAGGTGGCTTTTTTTGTATGGATAGCGGCGTATGATAGTATTTTGACAATTGATAATCTAGTTCATCGAGTGCATGTTTTGGTTAATTGGTGTTGTATGTATTGTGAGGTTGCGAAATTGGTGGACCATTTGCTTGTCAAGTGTCCAGTGGCTTCTCGTTTTTGAGATCTTATTTTTTCTACTTTTGGGGCACAATGGGCGTAGCCGAAAGGGGTGTTGGGTGTCTTATAGAGTTAGATAGGGGGTCGAGTGGAGAAGAGGCATCAAAAGGCTTGGGTGTTGGCTCCATTGTGTTTGATGTGGCTTATTTTGCTGGAACGCAATCAGCGTATTTTTCAAGAGGTTGCTCATTCGGTGTCGTGGTTGGAAACTTGGTTTCTGCATGTTCTCTGCAAATGGGTGTCTGGGCGGGTGAATCCAGATTTGTTTGCCTTTTTAAATTTTTTAGATGATGTGGTTGAGTGGGTTGTAGTTCTGTTCTGTTTTGTTTACTTTTGTGAGTGCTGCTCCTATCTTGGGGGTGTCAGTGTGTAATCTTTTGCATCTCCTCGATGCTTTGATTTCTTTATAAAATTTTATTTATCAACAAAAAAAACAAAAAATAAAAATAAAGAATAAAAAAACATGTATTCTATGATATATAACAAAATGAACAAATATATATATGAAAAGAACTCCATAATCTTGATGTATGGAATCGTACTCCATGCTGTATCCAATACTTTTTTTATTTTCTTTTCGTTTCTTTTTTCTTTTTCTCTTTATCTAAGGTAAAAATTTCATAATATGAGGTGGCTAGAATGATTGTGTAAGATCACCAAGTCAATATTTTCTCAAGTTTGTTCCATAACCTTGCATCAATGCTGAATGCAACTTACATCCTATCAGGATAAGAAGTGTTTTATCATGCACTAGTTGCATATAAACCAAACCAAACCAAACCTTAAGTCCCATCAAATGGAATCGACTATATGAATTCTTCTTCTCCATTCAACTCTATCCAAAGCCATTTCCTTAGTCAAATTAAGGGGGTTCATATCTCTATTTACTATATTAGCCCACGTCGATCTAGATCTACCGCTTCTCCCAACATTTCCATCTACCGTCACTGTATTGCATCTCTTCACTATTGCATCTGTTAATCTCCGTTGTATATAACCAAACCATTTCAATCTGTTCTTTCTGAACTTATCTTCTATCGGTACTACTCTTATCCATTCTTAAATATACTCATTCCTAACTCTATATTTTCTACTCTTGACACACATCCACCTTAGCATTCTCATTTTAGCAACACTCATCTTATCTACATGTTGTTTCTTGGTTGCTCAACATTTCGACTCATACAACATTGCTAGTCTAATAGCCGTTCTATAGAACTTCCCTTTTAGTTTAGTGAACACTCGTTTATCGCACAATACCCTAAACGCACTTCGCCACTTAAGCCACCCTGCCTTAATTCTATGGACCGCATCCTCTTCAATCTCCCAAGCCGTTGTAATAATCGATCATAAATAAAGAAAATATTCACTCTTAGGTAGTTATTAGCTCTTAATCATATAAAAATTAAAAATAAAAACAAAACAAAACAAAATAACTCTTGGACAACAAAGGTCATTATAAAAAAAATTTCGCCCCCCTCTTACAGAAGTACACTATAAAAACTACTAAAGTGGAGGAGAGATCAAATGCATGAGAACAAGTCGACTGAAAGCCCACAATTTCAAACTTATAAAGAGATAAAATTACAAACTTAAAATTGAAGAACGAGCAAGAACATGGATCTCATTAGATGAGACCTATCTCATCTCACAATAAAATAAAGCAGAAATAAGGCTCAAAAAATAGTTTAGGAATTATACCTTCAGAGCTAGTAGAAGCAGAAATGTCTCAACAGAGTAAAATCCTCTGTCAACAAAATCTCCAAGGAACAAGTAATTAGTCTTTGGGCAATCACCTCCTACTTTGAAAAGTTCCTTCATGTCATAAAACTGCCCATGGATATCGCCGCAAATCTATATGAAAAAGAGGCCTAATATTACAAATAAGCCATAATTGTGACTGACATCAGTATTCAAATTAAAAACAACTACAATTATCAGGTCAGAGGAGTAGCATCAAGGATGCAAGATCTACTGAGATCTTTAAAAAAATAAAAAGCAATTATGCAGGCAATGCAGTTTCAAATTTACCAAGTAGGTAACATAGACACCATCAAATGAATGCCTTTTTGTTGCTACTTGAGAGGCAGACAAAGAGAGGACAAGAAACCTAAAAACAATTTTACTAAAAAATCATCATCACAGAAGGATAGGAAGTATTCCATTTTCTGAACCTATGCAACGCGGGTTCATATACATGTAATTGTAATCCACATCTCAAAATGACACATCAAGTAAGCTCCAAAGTTCATAACATCAATCCAAGTTGGATAATTGTGACATGTAGTTTCTAGGTTTTTCCCCTGATACGTATGGATGAGTTTTAAACAAGTTGCTTGCTGCAAATTAGAATTAACACCATGACCGGTTGAGTATCGAAAACTTTTCGCATGCTCCAACTCAGTTTAGTAATTTTCAACAAATCTACAAAAATAAAAAAATAAAAAACCTAAAGCTTACCCATTTTGGAATCTGTGTTAGGTCCACATAAACGTTTAGTATGAGCATCTTAGACCCCCACATAATTATATTAGTCTAGAAAGCTTTACAAAGTTCAGGCATACTTGCAACAGGTTGGACGTTGAACCTTGAATAGAATTGGGACAACAACCAACCCAATATACCTCAAAGACAGCGTGCAATTAATTCATTCTCTTCCTATCAATCCCTAAAAAATTTACTTGTTAGTACCCATAACATTCACAACCGCATAGCCACTGTAGTTTCAATATTCAAATCGGTCCAATTAAATAATGACAGAATACGATCAAAATATCGAAAAATTCAAAATGAAAACAAGTAGTCTAATTTACAACATAGAGTTCAAAGGTCGCATTTCCAATGAAAAAATCTCCATAATTAAAACTAAAACCTAGATCGATTCGACGACAGTGACAGTCGAATCAAAAGAAATCAAACTCTTATATACGAAGAAGCGAGAGGGGGTTCGAGACTTGCGGTGACAGGTGCGTCGACTCTCTGAACATTGCTCTCTTCGACGAGGATTTCCATGGCTTTGAGGCAAAGAGCCTTGACTTCGGACTCCTTCAAGGGCTCGCACTTCTTCAGCTGCTCTATTTGCCTGTCTAGGTCTGACATCTCTCTCTCTCTCTAGTTTCTCTCTCTCTCTCTACCCCACACAAGGACGGAAGAAGAGCAGAGAGAGCAAGCCGATTTGAAGACGACTCTGTCTCTCGCTCCTCCTCTGCATCTAAAAAGCTCTCTCTCTCTCTTCTCTCCACACAACAAGCAAATAACATAATTAATTAATTATATTTTATTATATTATATTAATCTATTATTTTGCCTACTAGTTTCTCTTCTACTGTTGTGTTGTGGTTCACTTCTTTTTTTTGTGGTCTCTCTTTCTCTCTCTCTGTCTTGCTTGTTTTTTTGCTCTTGTTTTGTTGCAAGCTTTGCCTTTGAGCTTTTCGCAATTCGCGCGGCCGCCCCCTAAATTTTGGTGTATTTTCGTTTTGCCTATTACTTATCCGTTTCATTTGCTTTTTAACCCGTCTTTCAGACGTTGGTGTGTCTAACCAACAGCACAAGTTAAATGAATACATAAGTCAAATGAATACATAATCTTAAAAAAATAAAATAAATAATAGACTAAATATAAATTATTTTGCATAGGCATATAAATATGTAATATTTTTGACATAGTAGATGATTCATGCATTAACGGGATGTCACTATTTTATCTAAATATATTCAAATTATAGAAACATGTGCCTATATCTAGTCTAATTAGTGACAAAGTCGGAATTTTGATTCAAATATATAATAATAAGGTAAGATATTTATGTTTATAATAGTGTATTTTAGAATCTTTTTTAGAATTTTACAATTTTTTTTGAATCTCAATGATTGATGGTGTGAGCCCCACACATATATCAATGGTTAAGATTTAAAGAGAATTGTGGAAATTCCGAAAAAAAGGATCCAAACATTTTTTATTTTAATTTGTTGTGTTTTGATTCTAACACACTTTTAACTTTCAATTGAAATCATAACAATAATTTGGCCCGTAATCGCCAACTCCATAAAAAAGCAAGTATTTTTATCATCTATATTCACATACAAGTTACTGCATAATCATATATATAATTAAAAGTAGTATTTTTCTTATATTTATGTGACACATTGTAAGGACCTTTTTTTTTTTTAGGAGAACCGTGGCAGCATGTATTTTTTTAATTATATATAGAGTTCTATACAAATACAAACCTGAATGTAATTTAAATTATATTAACTTTATTTATTTTATATGGATTCTATCTAACAAATATTTATTTTTCATATATTTTTCATAGTAAATTGAGATAATCCACAAACTCAATGCTAATTTTGCGTTCCACATTTTTCTTCTTATTTCTTTCAAGGGTATTAGGATTTTTTTTAATGCTAAATTGCCTTCCTTTTTTTTTTTTTTCTTCTTCTCATGCATTATTTTAGTCCCAATACCAATTTTATATTATTCTATATTATGGATTTGTCATTTAAATTTTATTGTAATTTTATATATGAAATTATACTTCATTTTCTACGGTTTTTTTTTATATAATCACAACTCACATGAAGAAAAACATGCACAACAATGATACTCTCAAAGAATCTCTAAAGTTTGTATTTACTGCTTGAGTTACTTTTTTTTAATTATTAAACAGTAAATTCTTTTATATTTTGACATCATATTATAGATGATTAATCACTTCACATACTAAAATGTATCTATCGTTTGGATGTTTTCATTATTTTTTATTTTTTTTTTGAGAGTTTAGACGTTGTTATGTGATTCTTTCTTGGTAGTTGTTGTTAAATTTATTTTATACAGTTTATATTTTAATTTAATTAAGAGTATTTATTTTACAATCTTATAATTTAATATAGGGGATTTTTTAAAAGGATATCTGGTATTAAGATTTTATAGCATAAATAACATCCAATATTTTCATAATATTTAAGGTTCCTCAATTTTGATCCAGAGAAATTTTGGTCTTAGTGAAATTCCCAGAATTTCTTTGGACTTCCCAAAAGATTTCTCTGGGTTCAAAACAGAGAAAATTGAAAATTTCTCTAAGTTCAAACTAGAGAAAATTGAACAACTACCATTTTCATTTTGACCAATTTTCTTTGGACTGTAAGACATTTAGACAACAGCAAATCAAAGAAAATTGAACAACCACCGTTCCATTTTGACCAGTTTTCTTTGGACTGCAAGACATTTAGACAATAACAAACTAGAGAAAATTGAACAATCACCATTTTGTAAGACATTCAGACAACAACAAACAAGAAAAAAATTGAGCTACTTAGAGACCAAAAACAAAGAGACCAGAGAAAACTAAAATTTCTCTGAATTTGTTCACAGAGAATTTCTCTGACTTCCTTTACAAATTTCTCTGTAAAGAAAGTCTTTGGTTTAGTTTATCCAACAATTCTACTCAAAAATTTATACCTATCAAAACTATTCAACAACTTTGAGTTGAGAATCACCATTAAGGACCCAATCAATAAGTTGTTGTTTGGGCTTGTTGATGCCTACAAGATTAGCTGCTTCTAGCAGAAGTGCGTCACCTCTTCGATCATACCATCCACCATTATCTGCCACGTTGGAGCTTGAGGCTTGTTCTGAGGTATAGAATTTGTAACCATACCTCTCTCCACTATAACATGGTTTCATTTTCTCTCTTCTCTATTTTCTCTCTCTTCATCCATTACTATTATTGTTTTTCTCTTGCTTTTGCTCTGGTTTTAGGGCTTAGCTTGGCTTCCGATTGGGATTCTCGAAGGAACAATGCTTCTCATAACAGCGAAATGGCGATGACGGCGATCTTGCCAATCGTTGAAGGCTTCAGATCGCGCGGCCATAGTCAGTCGCAAATCTCTATCAGACTACATCGGTAAGGTGAGAGTAATGGTTTCCGGTGATAGTGGTCATGAACCGTAGTGAAATAGGAGGGACTAATAGGACTTCTAAAAACTATTGCTCTGAAAATACTAAAAAAAGAGTGAATCTAATGTACTTCGAGCAGTGGACGAGAGGAGATATATGAAAAAGATGAGAGCTAAGATTTGCATTTTTTAGATGGAGGATTGTAATCTTGAGCGGCAATGATCTGTTTGCGGATTAGAATCGACGATTTGTTCACAGATCTATCCTATGTTAACTTAGATCCTTCAATGAAATTATGGATCTAGATCTTAGCGGAGACGCGGAGCTTTAGTTATGAAATGTTTTCAGAGGACGAGAGACACAGAGCTTCAGCGATTGAGTGATATAAGAGTATGGAGGTAAGGGACCTTCGACTACAAAAGAAAATATTGTGGGCCTATTTCATTATTAAAAATTGGAGAGGGATGGTAGACTAATTTTTCCTTTAATATATATATCATATAAAAATATTATATGATAATCAAACTATAACATATTTATATTTAATTTTTTTAACAAAATTTATATAATTTCTATTTCTATATATATTTTATTTTCCAAATGAATATAAAAGAAAATTAAATAGTTAGAATTGCTTTTAATTTTATGTTACTAATTCTTCTTATAATTTAACTATTATTTTTAATATCAAAACGACTATTTAATTTACTGTTTTATAATTTAATATATATCATACAAAATTATTATATGATAATTACACTATGTAATACGATAGAACTAAAATTATCAAAATACACAAATAATTTAACTAAAATTAATATATATAAGTATTTAAGTAACAATTTTATAGAATGATAGTGCTAATGTTATTAAAATAAATAATTAAAATTATTCTTTTACAACACACATTGTACCATCAAATATTTTTTAGAAAAAAATAAGTACATTACATAGGTCAAATGCTAATTTATATTATATATTAAGAAAAATGAGATTTTTAACTTCTATAGTTTATGTTGTTTTTTTTTAATTTTTTAAAAATAAAAAAATGTAATTGGCTACTAAAATTTAACTATATCTATAATTTTAAATTTTTTTAAAAATATTTATATATAGAAAGTCAAATATTAAAAATATAAAAAAAAAATTTATTTCACAGGACTATGAATTCCATATAAGTTGGATTATTGTGTCCTAGTGATGCGTGGATAAAAATGGTGAGATTAAAATCTTAGCACATTAAGTTATAAAATGATACATTTGCTCTCCAAATATTTGATTTCATTATGTATTGTATTTAGTAAAATAAAATAAAATACAAAATTTCAATTAAAAAAATAAAACAAAATAATTTAATTTTTATTGATTTTGTTTATTTATTTTTTAAAATAATTGTTTATAGATGTTTTATTGATTTTTTATTTTAAATTTTTATTGATATTTTATTTAATTTTTATTATTTTTAATTTTCATTATTTATTATTTTTAAAAAATAATTTTCTAGGCAAAAAAAAAAAAACTTAAGACATATTTAGTATTACTATTACTTAGTAAATAATTAAAAAGGATAAATAATCTATTGAACATTTATTTTTCTTCATAATATGTCAGTCAAACATTAGATATAATAGAATAATTATTTTCAGACATATAATTTCATGTAAAAATAAATATGAGATATATAAAACAAATATGGATCTCATGTACTAGCATTTTTATAAGATAAATTTTCAATTTTTTTTTAAATTTTTTATAATCATTTTGAGAACAAGTTTATAAGATAGAATATTGACTTATTTGAATTATATCATCTCCTTTACTTTTTACATATTTTTTTTTGTAATAAATAAAAAAATTAACCTATAAATCACTTCCCAAAATAACCCTTTACTTCAAAATTTACAATGAGATTCATTACATTTGTGTGTGGTGGCAGAAAGAATGGGTGTATAAATATCATATTTTTTTAATTAAAATAAAAAATAAGAATTACTATCATTTAATATTGAATATTAATTAAATATGTTAAAAAAAAGCAAGTCGTCAAATTAGATAAGGGTGTGCTAAGACAAAAGGGGTGTGCGAATAGAAAGAAGCTCCCGTGAAAACGATTGGTTAATCCGGTATACACAATTAATTAATGCTTCAATCTTGTTGAGCTGTGACGACGACAAGGCCGGACCAACTCTCCCGGTTAAAGTTGGCGCCGTGTGTGTCCTCCCTTTTTCAAATTCACTTCTCAAAAACCCTAATACACCTCTCGAATCCCATTCGATCATCATCAATTCCAAACATCACAATCAAATCGCTGTTTCGTATCAAACAGGTAAAGATCTCTCCAAAAATTTCTCTAATCTCATCTCCTCAATTGTGTTCCGGATTTAGGACATCCGATCTGCTTCATCTCACACATCATATCTATGTATATATATATATATATATGCGCGCGCGCGCGCACACACACACCTAATCGATTCTGTTTCTCTCTACAAAACTAATTGTATATGCCCTAGTTTGCCATTATTTGGTATGGATTAGCTTCATTATCGATCTCCTAATGAATTGAGGAAACAAATTGAATTGTGTTTGCGTTTGTTTGTTTATTTATATTTACAAAGTTAAATTATGTAATCGTTAGCGTGAAATTTAGGTTGTGTGTGATTCGTTTAAATGTACGAACTTGAAACCCTTTTTGTCTGGTCGGTTATGGGAATTGCTGTTCGATGCGATGCTTGTCTTTACTCCAAACTAAAATAATTTTTTTGCATCTCTTGCAGATCAATGGCATCTTCGGCAGACTCATGGGTCAGAGAATACAATGAAGCGGTAAAACTTGCAGATGATATCAATAGCATGATTTCTGAAAGGAGTTCTATGCCGGGGTCTGGACCGGAAGCACAACGCCATGCATCTGCCATCCGGAGAAAAATTACAATATTGGGAACTAGACTCGATAGCCTGCAGTCCCTTCTATCAAAGCTTCCTAGCAAACAACCATTGTAAGTTGTCCCAACACCCAATAAATTGCACTGATGTAGTACGCGGAGTACCTGCTACTACTACAACCAAATAAATCATCGATTTTATTCACGACTCTACAGTTTCCACCATAATTTATTTTTCCGTGTAAGCAATTATTTTTTGTCTATTCATAAATTCTTCCTATTTAATGTTGGCACTCTGTTTTATATACCTGCATAGGTTTTATGGAAAGCAATTTATGGTTTTGGATCTATGTTCTTTGCAAAATGGATATTTTGTAATTATGCTTTGCTTACAAATGAGTATCTCTTATTTTATTATGCGCATCTGCTATACGTAGTTTGAGGGTGAGAGAATAATTTCACGAACAAACGTTCCTTCCAAATGGCCCTATGGTAGAGCAGTAGAACCACAACTTTATACTCCCACGCTGGCATGCCATAAGCAAAACACAAAATGTCCTTCTCTCAAACGTATGCTTGCATTTGTGAAATTATGTTCATATAGATCACGGAAACAAGAAAATGAACAAACCAAAATTTCATTTGGACTGAAGTGCTCATCCAATAATGTAGTAACTTCTAACTTATGCCATGTTGTAAATTTTGTTAATTCGATGTTAATATATTTCTTTTTTATTTTGAGCATAGAGCTCTTGCATCTAATAAAGTTGTAATGTCTAACTTTTGTTGTGTTGTAATTTTTTGTTAATATATTTATGTTTATATTTTAAAGTTTTCTTATATTTTAACAGCCAAAATTGACAGTGTCTGTATGTGCTAAATATGGGTTGTAAGTGGTGGGTTATGGGCCTTAATTTGGCCAAGTAATATTAGTGGGTATGTAGTAGAGTTCTAGAGAACTATTAGTAATAGAAGTTTGAGTTTTTTATATTTGAAGTCTGAGTCCTTAAAGAAGTAGGGGAAGTATTCATTTAAATCCAGTCTTTTAGAGATTTAACGGTTTTGTGATATGTGAAGCAATCCAACATTGGAGGTTGAAGCTGAAGGAATTTTAGTTAGTATGCTCATCTTTTTCTCTTCAATCCATGTTCCTAATACGAATTTAATTCAAGTTGAAGTAATTTTGTTTGGGAGGCATTAGATGGTAATGCGATGTTTTCCATTACATCTCTTGCCTAACTAATATCAACTGATACATGAATGAAACAAAGCAATGCCTTCCATGGGAGCATTACTTTAAGATATGCTTGGGTAGTTATCCTTCATTCAATTGATGCATTTAAATGCAATTTTCAAAATTAAAGAAGGGATAAGAATATGTAGCTTTGAATACTCAGCTTCTCATTTTATGCAATTAATTAGTTCATGATTGCCTCGCATAACTGAATGTTTATCTTTATTTTTTTTCCGTAGAAGTTATAAAACAATGTTTTTTAATTCTAATTATATTGGGCTGTCTTTTTGGATACTGCTTTTTATTCCAAGCTGAAAAGAATTTAACATACTCACATATTATCATGATAAAAAAATAAAAAAAAAAAATCTGAAAGATCAGATTGGCACTCCCCTTTCTCAGGAAATCTTCAAAGTAGTACATGGGGGTGCCTCTCTTTTATAGCCAACACTTACCTAATCCCAATAGAAGCCTAGCTTCAATGGACTTAGGATTACTGCTAATCTTGGATTCCCAGTAAGATTAGGATAAACTCTCTAAGAGTCTTATTTTAATACAAACTGAAGTCTTCTCTTATTCTAGGACTCTTGTCCCTTATCCAGGTTGAGTTCCCTTTTCATTCTAGGACTCTTGTCTCTTATCCACTTATCTCGGATTCCGATATCTTCGGAGATAACCTCGGCTTTGTCGAGATTACATCGGCGTCACGACCAGGACACGTGGCACCTCGGCTGATACGTCGGCGTCACCTTGCCACGTGTTGGTACTCAGAAAATATATCCCCACAACTGTCCCCTAAGTTCTATTACCGGCATTCTCAGGTGATGGAACCTACACTGTTCGTTCATCTGTGCCCCTCTGTCCGAGATCAAACTTGCCGACCTCAAAGTTCCCTGGACTTTACTGTCAACTTCTGTCAAGTATCAAGATTCATGCCTTCCAAGCTGCTTGAAATCGCACCTCCTAGCCGAGGTTCTGATTCCATTAATTCGTAAACTCCAAGAGCTTTTGTAATTGTTCCACTCACACTCTCTGGTGAGTTCCTGATTTCCAGTCATCTATTTGACTTCGGCGATTTTCATATCGGCGTTCATTTCACTTTGTAGGTTCATAAACTCTTTACTTGCTATTAAGCTCAATCTTTCATAACTCTTTTGATTTACTTTAAATCTGTTTATTTGCCATCTGTTGCCTTCTATTTTCATCTGTCTTCAAGTCTTGAATTGTTTGAATGCCTAGTGCCTGTGCACTTGGCTTTATTCTTCAACTTTGTCATCTTCTTGACTCTGATTTTTCTTTTCTTGTTTTTCTTGTTGTATTTCCAGATTCTTGCTTTCGTTTATGTTTTCTGTATAGTCTTAGAACCACGTCCATTCTTAAAATTGTTGCCGAGATAATGGTAGAGAAGCTCTCTCAGCTGACTGTCAATGTTGAACCATCGTCAACCGTTGAAGTAGATTAGTCCGACGTTCTTGCCTTAGTCCCTAGTTCTTAGGGTCTTCATCTTTGTACTTTTGTTTTCTTTGCATATGTCACCTTTTTTGCTTCTGAAAAATGTCTGCTGTTGGCCGATGTTAACATTCCTTGCTCCTTGATTATCATTCCTTCTTCCACTGTATTTGATAGCCATGTTGGGTAATTGACTTCTCGGATGGCCCTGAGCTCCAAAAGTCTGTCTACTTCTTTCTCTACTGCTTCGATGTGTATCAACGTTGGCCCTCTTGCTCATTGGATTACAGGTTTGGCTGACCTGTCGACGTTCAATTTGTGGCACGTGATCTCGGGGTCAATGCCAGACATTTCATAAGGTGTCCAAGCAAATACCTCAATGTTTGCTCTCAAAAAAACTTCCAATTCCCTTTCTTCTTCTTCGGCTAAGCCTAAGCCGAGAAGAAAGAAGCGTTCTTTATCCCCCTTCTGGACGAGGATTTTCAGTGCCTCTTCACACCTCTCGTCTGGCTCCTTGCCGACATCATCTAGTACCTCTATGTCCTCATTTTCAATCTCTGCCTTTTCTAGTTCTCGAATGCTGCACGTGGATTTCATTGCTGCCATGGAGCAATTCTTCGCCTGCAGTTGATCCCCTCTGACTTCTTCAAGCCCATGTTCTGTTAGGAACCGTAGTAGTTGATGCAATGTTGAGGGAACTGCCCCCATTGTATGCGGCCATGGCCTTCCCAAGATGATATTGTATGGTGAGGGCGTGTCAATCACCGTGAATTCTGTCTTGATATTCTTCTAACTGCTCTTGCATGATTCTATACTTAGAATATTTTGCATGCCTTTCATACTTTGCCTCCTTTGTGCATTCTTCTCGGGGTTACATACCTCAGGTATAATAGCTACAAAACTTTTACTTTGGCAAGATACTGACCTGCAAACTTTTCATAAATTCTAACAAGTGCGGAACATATACTACTCAATGTTAACTTTACAAACTTTTTCTCAAGTTTCAACAAGTGTTTAAACGGTAATCTCGGTCTAGCCTACTTGTAAATTGCTGCAAATTTCAACAAGGATTAACATATACTGTAACAGGGATCAACAAGGATTAACATAACAAGTGTTAAACAATAATCTATTTGTAAATTGTTACGAATTTCAACAAGTGTTTAAACAACATACTTAGCTTTTTTCTCAACCTGTAAATTGCTGCAAATTTCAACAGATGATCATATGTCGGCTTAACGTTATCTTGTAAATTGCTACAAATTTCAACAAGTGTTAAGCATCTTCTTTGGTTTAACCAACCTGTAGATTGCTATAAGTGTTTAGCAATAATCTCGACTTTGCTTCAACTCGTAAATTGCTACGAATTTAAACAAGCGAAGAGAAACTGTAATCTTGCCTTAACTTCAACTTGTAAATTGCTACAAATTTCAACAAGTGAAGATAAGGAACTATCTTGGCTTAACTTCAACTTGTAAATTGTTACAAATTTCAACAAGTGAAGATAAGGAACCATCTCAGCTTAACTTCAACTTGTAAATTGCTACAAATTTCAACAAGTATTTAACCATAGTCTTCAATCTTGTAAACTCTTCTCAAGTTTCAACATCATCTCGGCTTAACTTCGGTTAAGCATTATCTCAGTTTAACTTCGGTTAAACATCATCTTCGGTTTAACTTCGATTAAGCATCATCTCGGTTTAATTTCGGTTAAGCATCATCTCGGTTTAATTTCGGTTAAACATCATCTTCGGCTTATCTTCGGTTAAGCATTATCTCAGTTTAACTTAACTTGTAAATTGTCCACAAATTTCAACAAGCGGTAAACATCATATTAGTTTAACCAACTTGTAAATTGTTACAAATTTCAACAAGTGGTAAACGCATTCTTCTTCTCTACGCCCCCAGTGTGAACTTAAAATCCACTTGGGTTCTCATCATACATGAAGCTTCAACCTTGTCGCTGAGGTTGAATTCAAGCCGAGGTTGTCGGCCTTGGTTTCTCTATTGATCTTACTTGGCTCCAACCTGAGTTTGATTTTCGGCCTCGCATCGGCGAGCCGTTTCTCTTTTCTTGTTTCGACGCCTTTGTTCCCGGCATGTCTTCCTCGGCCTTAGCATACTTCTCAATTCTGGCCAACTTTAGTTTGATCTTGTGTGTTTCCTTTTTATCTTCTGGGATCTGAGATCTGCTCATTGTGCTTTTCTCTTCTTGGACTCAGGTGCCGAGATCTTATCTTCTGGAATCTTGGATTTGCTCACTTAGGTTGAGCTCTTCTCTTCTCGGGCCTACTTGTCTAGGCTGAGATCATGTCTTCTCGGATCCGGGATCCAGGATTTGAAATCTGGGATCTGCTCACTCAGGATGAGTTCTTCTATACTTGAATGTTATCTCCTTGGGAGCGCTCATGCCCCCTGTCTTTGCATCCCTTCTGGAAGGGTCTTCGTTCCTCCGCAGGTATCTATCCTTCCATACCTGAAGGTCATCTTCGTTGTAGTATCTGTTTCGATCTGTTGTCTTTGGTGCGTCACCTTCCTGGCCGGCGTCTTTCACTTTGTGACTCTGGTCACGAGTTTCTGTGTTGCGGTCGTCCCCTTTAACGTTGAGATCGATAGGTCTCCGACTCCTAGCAGGAGCGTTATCTCTAATTTGAGCCGGGATCTGCTCACTCAGGATGAGTTCTTCTATACTTGAATGTTATCTCCTTGGGAGCGCTCATGCCCCCTGTCTTTGCATCTTTTCTGGAAGGGTCTTCGTTCCTCCGCAGGTATCTATCCTTCCATACCTAGAGGTCATTTTCGTTGTAGTATTCGCTTCGATCTGTTGTCTTTGGTGCGTCACCTTCCTGGCTGGCGTCTTTCACTCTGTGACTCTGGTCACGAGTTTCTGTGTTGCGGTCGTTCCCTTCAATGTTGAGATCGATAGGTCTCCGACTCCTAGTAGAAGCGTTATCTCTAATTTGAGCGTTCTGTCCGTCATTGGCCATCTATTCTTCTTTCTTTCCCACAGACGGCGCCAAATTGTATGGGTGATTTTCTGACCACACTGCCCGCTTAGTATCCAGCTGGAGAGCACCGGCAGAATAGATAGCACCTGGCTAACCTGCAACAGAAATATAAGAATCCTGCGGTGGTTTTGACCACCCGGGGGCACTCCGATGATCAAGTCAGTATATCTCTCAAAGATAAATCAAGTACTAAACTCACAAGCTTGAGTATCAAAAGCATACCTTAGACCCATAGGGGTGCTTTTCTTTTATAGCCAACATAAACCTAGTCCCAATAGAAGCCTGACTTCTATGGACTTAGGATTACTGCTAATTTTGGACTCCCAGTAAGATTAGGATAAACTCTCTAAGAGTCTTATCTTAATACAAACTGAAGTCTTTTTTTTATTCTAGGACTCTTGTCCCTTATCCAGGTTGAGCTCCCTTTTCATTCTAGGACTCTTGTCCCTTATCCACTTATCTCGGATTCCAATATCTTCGGAGATAATCTCGGCCTTGCCGAGATCACCTCGGCGTCACGACCAGGACACGTGGCACCTCGGCTGACACGTCGGCGTCACCTTGCCACATGTTGGTACTCAGAAAATATATCCCCACAAAAACAATTTATGGTTTTGGATCTATGTTCTTTGCAAAATGGATATTTTGTAATTATGCTTTGCCTACAAATAAGTATCTCTTATTTTATTATGCGCAACTGCTATATGTAGTTTGAGGGTGAGAGAATAATTTCACGAACAAACGTTCCTTCCAAATGGCCCTATGGCAGAGCAGTAGAACCACAACTTTATACTCCCACGCTGGCATGCCATAAGCAAAACACAAAATGTCCTTCTATCAAACGTATGCTTGCATTTGTGAAATTATGTTCATATAGATCACGGAAACAAGAAAATGAACAAACCAAAATTTCATTTGGACTGAAGTGCTCATCCAATAATGTAGTAACTTCTAACTTATGTCATGTTGTAAATTTTGTTAATTCGATGTTAATATATTTCTTTTTTATTTTGAGTATAGAGCTCTTGCATCTAATAAAGTTGTAATGTCTAACTTTTGTTGTGTTGTAATTTTTTGTTAATATATTTATGTTTATATTTTAAAATTTTCTTATATTTTAACTGTCAAAATTGACAGTGTCTGTATGTGCGAAATATGGGTTGTAAGTGGTGGGTTATGGGCCTTAATTTGGCCAAGTAATATTAGTGGGTATGTAGTAGAGTTCTAGAGAACTATTAGTAATAGAAGTTTGAGGTTTTTTATATTTGAAGTCTGAGTCCTTAAAGAAGTAGGGGAAGTATTCATTTAAATCCAGTTTTTTAGAGATTTAACGGTTTTGTGATATGTGAAGCAATCTAACATTGGAGGTTGAAGCTGAAGGAATTTTAGTTAGTATGCTCTTCTTTTTCTCTTCAATCCATATTCCTAATACGAATTTAATTTAAGTTGAAGTAATTCTGTTTGGGAGGCATTAGATGGTAATGCGATGTTTTCCATTACATCTCTTCCCTATACTAATATCAGCTGATACATGAATGAAACAAAGCAATGCCTTCCATGGGAGCATTACCTTAAGATATGCTTGGGTAGTTATCCTTCATTCAATTGATGCATTTAAATGCAATTTTCAGAATTAAAGAAGGGATAAGAATATGTAGCTTTGAATACTCAGCTTCTCATTTTATGCAATTAATTAGTTCATGATTGCCTCGCATAACTGAATGTTTATCTTTATTTTTTTTCCGTAGAAGTTATAAAACAATGTTTTTTAATTCTAATTATATTGGGCTGTCTTTTTGGATACTGCTTTTTATTCCAAGCTGAAAAGAATTTAACATACTCACATATTATCATGATAAAAAAATAAAAAAAAAAAATCTGAAAGATCAGATTGGCACTCCCCTTTCTCAGGAAATCTTCAAAGTAGTAATCAACATGCTGTACTCATTTCTCTGTTTCTATAATATATATATATATATATATATATAACAAACTAGGTGATTCTGTGACAATGATCTACAAAGTAGAAGTATGTTAAATTATTGTTGTTGTTGTTGTCTTTGGATTGTTAGTGAAGCCTCATTTTGTTATACACAGAACAGAGAAAGAGATAAATCGCCGGAAGGATATGCTTGCAAACTTGAGATCAAAAGTAGCCCAGATGGCCTCCACATTGAACATGTCGAATTTTGCCAACAGAGACAGCTTGCTTGGGCCAGAAATTACGTCAGCTGATGCCATGAGCAGGGCAAGTGGCTTGGATAACCACGGCGTTGTTGGTCTTCAAAGACAAATAATGAAAGGCATGTTGTAACTTCTTCAGACTCATTTTTTAAAAATATTTTATTTGGCTTCTATATCATGGATTCGTATGCCTTGGAAGCAGAACAAGATGAGGGCCTAGAGAAATTGGAGGAGACGGTGATAAGCACGAAACATATTGCTTTGGCAGTCAATGAGGAACTTGACCTACACACTAGACTAATTGTATGTGTTTCCATTATTGGTTTGTTTACTTACATGCCTCTTTGCATCCTTGACCTTCTCGGTAGAATTAATTTGGTAATACTATGAAATTTAATGAACCATGATCATGAAATGATACTTCCTCTCCCACCATGCAGGATAACCTGGACCGACATGTGGATGTCACAGACTCTCGATTACAGGTGATACTCATCCTAGTTCTTTACCTTCTGAATATCATGCAACCATGTTTAGCATGTGTAGCCTTTGTGATTAAGGATGCACTTCCTAGGTGATTTTTTTAATAGCATTTTTGTTTCTTCAATGCACGGCAATGGAATTGGGAATTTGGATATTATGTGGCGAGGGTGTTGAAAAATTGGGATGATATCACGAGCAATATCAGAATACTTGAGTACAAATACTATTGGAGAAAAATAATTTGTGGCTGAAAAATGAAGAATATTCATATTTTAGAAGTGGATTGAATTTATAATTTTATGAATTGCACATGCTAAGGTTGGGAGCAAATGAAGGGAAAGAAAAACGGATTGTAATGATAAAATTTCAGAACTCTCTCTTTCATCTTTTCAGCTAGTGATGCAATATGCATTGTAGTATTACTTATTACTTTCAGATAGAGCAGGAGCATGAGTTTTTAGGTTGCAGCTCCATTAGTTGACATTGTTGTGAAAATGAAAATAGAAAACACGAGAAGAAATAACCAAGCAACTGAACATCCGATGTGTTTTTTCGATTGAAGCCATTAATTATGAAGTTGAAATTGATATATTTTTCTCCAATCAAGCTGCTAGTTAATTTGTGTTACAACATTTTATTAATGTGATTGATCTTTACTTAGTCATGACTCGCATCTTGACGAGCATTGCGTTACTATTTTTTTTTCTAAGAAAATTTAGCCAACATTTTTTTTACTTTTTGGGTTTTCATCTCTGTGGAAACAGCGAGTTCAGAAGAACCTGGCAATTTTGAACAAACGCACCAAAGGTGGTTGCTCCTGCCTTTGCCTCCTTTTATCAGTTGCCGGGATTGTGGTTCTGGTTGTCGCCATCTATTTGTTGGTGAAATATTTGTAATACAAAACAACATGCCAACATCTCTCCGCCGATGTGTTTTGTGTCTTCGTGTGCAAATGGCTATTATGACTGATCTGTTGTAAAACTTCATTGTTTGAGTTTTTCGATTTCCTTTTGGTCATGCAATATTTATTTTGGTGTTAAAATCAAATCAATTTGTATACTACGAATGACCAAGTGTCACTCAAACACTGAATTATTGTTTTTTTTTCCTTCTTTTTCCTTCTTGTAATCACCTACTGCATGGATGGGTTTGATGAATGCTTCTGAGAATAGTTGAATGGTTATCTGTTTGAGCTTATGTGCCCTAGATTTTGTGTTGTGCCTTTTAGCATTGGTGATCATCAGACGAAAATGTTAGATTGTCGTCATCTGACCACCTAGTGTAATCTGGATGCTTAGTTTATCCTTTAAAAGGTAATTGAATAAATTTAATTTAAAAAACAGTAATTTCATGAAGAGGAGACATCTGGCTCTGTTGGGTTTTTAGCTAAGGAGTGCATGTTCGATTGTGTTTCTGTTTTTTATTTTTCATTTTCATGTTTTCAAAAACAAAGCCAATGAAAAGTTAAAAACACCCATGGTTTTATATTGTTTTTATTTTTGTACGAAAACATTTTTCAAAAATTCAGAAGCATTTTTTTTGTGCTTTTTAAAAAGTGAGTTGTTTTCTGAATTATTATTAATTTCCTGAAAATAATTTTGAGAAACAGTTCATGAAAAAAGTTGATTTTTTCAGAAAATGAGAGCATAAATTAATAAAAAAAATGAAGATACAACCAAGCAATAGGGTATATGTTTTTTCATTTCATTTCTTTTTTGTCTTCCTTGTACAAATCCAAGAAGTAAGCTAGAGCACCAAAGACCAAACATATGTTGACGAGGATGACAAAACAGTTAAACAACATTTAGGAGTTGTTTGGGATGATCTAAATAAATGCACTTTTTGTCTTTTTACGAAAAGATGTGCAGAAAAATAGAGAGGTGATGTGATGGAAAAAAGATAAAAAGATGGATTATTTTTGGGTTGCCAAACTTGGTCTAAGCAGTTTGAATTGGAAGATTGTGCACTCTTACCTTGGAGAGAGAGAGAGAGAGAGAGAGAGAGAGATGAGCCTTTTGCCTTTGAATCAACTTATGTTTTCCCACAGCTTTCTTGAACCTAGATTTGAAGCTCATCATGGCTAATAATGGGTAATGACTTGTATACTGGTCAGTCACTGCCATTTTCAAGTTCAAGAAAGCTGTGGAAAAATATTAGTCGACCCTAAATCCTTCCAAGTCCTCTTCAGACTTTAGATGCAACATATTGCCAACTTTGCAATTGCATATATATATATAGAGAGAGAGATAGAGAGAGAGCAAGGATCCAAGTTCTAAAATACCAGCTCTGGGCTGCCTTGTGAAATAAGTATTGGTCTGAATCTCTCATTAGTACTACTACTGTGACACTGTATATTACGAAGAAGAAAAAGTGTAAGACCGACCACCCCAGAAGAAAGCTGAGAGCTTCACAGTTTCAGAACCTAACAAATAAAGTTCCCTCACACAGTAGTGAGTGGGTAAGAAGTGACACAAGTAGTTGGTGGGGATCTGTGGGACATGTCAGCCTAAGTATGGTATGCCCTGCCATGGTGGTGGATGGGAACTTGGCCAAAAATAAATAAATAAATAAATTGCACTAAATTAACATTCAAAAAAGTTTCTCAGTATGTGGCTTTCTCCATCAATTATTTCATAATGAAGATCTCAAAAAATGAACTAACACTTTTACAGCTCGCAACACAATATGCAAAAAAAAAAAAAAATCAATACAAAGCTGTTTGCATCACCGATGAGAAATTACCAGTACAAATCTGAAAAAAGATTTTGGGTTCTTCGTGTTCTTGAATACGATAATCTTCATTCCCACTAAACCCTTCACAATGCAAGAGGATTGGGTTTGTTCTGCTGATAGCACCTCACTCCCCTTCGCTCAAAATTGGGACTATGAGCGGTTTCATCTGTGCAAGATACACAATTGCCCACCTACACCAGTGAAAGAAATACACAATTAAATATGATGCGAAAAGAAATGGAATGTGGGGCAATAAAGATGATAACCCGTTCATGACTCGAATTAACATCAAATAAATAGGGAAACCGCAAATGTAGAATCCACTACAAAACTGAGTTTTGTAAGAGCTGCATGTCTAGATTAAACATTGATTTGTCAAATTCAAATTGTCCAATGAAAATTCTAGCATAGCAAATGAATTCACAAAATAGAAATCCGAAACTCCAAAGTTGGACAGCAGCGTATCAATCTTGTGGTTTAAATGATTAAATTCTCTTATGAGATTGATTTACAATTATCGATCTATTAGTCAATTCATCAAACATTTGATGATCAATTCAAACAGTTAATAGCCCAAATGATCAAGCCATAGCTAAAATATCAAGTTTGACCTTGGAAGAGAAATAGCAAAGAAGATACACATTGTCCTTGTTTAAATTGTCTTGGGAAGATATATATATGTATTGTACATGGATATGCCTTTAATTCTTGAATCCTAATAAACAATACCTATTACCATAACAACTAGAGGTGCCAAACGCCATGCTTTCTTTCTCCTCTTCCCAACTCTAGCACCCCTCCAAATTATTCATGATTGTTGGCATTTTGGTACTTTTTCATGTAATTCTTAAAAAACTTTCTTTCTTTTCAATAGGAAAAAAAAGAGGAGGGGGGAGGGGGGGCATCTATATTAGGTCATTGAAAATGTATTTTGGACCATCTAATTCATCCCGAATGAACCATAGTAAAGCAAGAGATAGTAATTGAAGGGTGCTCACTTGGGTATGCTGTATGCTCCTCCACTGAAACAACGTAACAGTCTTATCCTATTTTACTTTGGGGTAGTTGGGTATAGTATTTCAGTTACAATTTTTACTTTTTGCATTTCAAAACATAGAAGGTGGGAAGAAAAAGTAGAAAGCGTGGAAGAGCATAGAGAGAAACTATTAAAAAGCTCCATCAATTCCACCTCCCAAACACTCAAATCTCTACTAATGGCAATGTACCAAAAGATTAAGTTACCCTCTTCGCTAATTAAGGATACAATTCTAGAAGTTAAGATTAAGCATAGTTCATTTTTTCCATTTTTTGAAAAGTAAAGTAATTTCATAATTTCAACATTCTCCCATATTCTAAATAAGTGTTGCCTCCAACCTCCTAAAAATGCATTCTCATCTTAGTTCAACCCCTTCTTGTCCTACCACGCATCTATTTCAACATTCTGACTTTAGGATGATGTTCGTAAACATCCAAAAATAGTTACGATGTTTCTATACTTTACTACTCAATTAGTATGACGTTTTGTAACACCAAACTTTTTTATCATAAAATTAATCTAATGTATTTATACATGTTCACAATCATTAGAATCTAAGTGAAGCCTTTAAACAAACGCTCAGTAAAATATATTTTGGACGTTAGCCTTTCTGGCTAGCACTTTTCAGTCCTGTCTCTCTCTCCACACACACACATGCGCGCCATTTTGGTATGGTTTGTTTCTACATTTTTTAGAGTTCAAAGACCAAATCTCCTAGAACAAGATCTACTTTAGTCTCTGCAATAAGCCTACCTCAAACCACTGCCATTCAAATTTTGTACTATTTTGTTATTTAAGATATTATTTTCTTTGCCCATCAACTCTTTGACGAAATGTTTGAACTAAGGCCTTATTTGTCATAATCTCAAAAAGTTAAAAAGTCAAAAAGTCACTATCTTATTTAAGTCACATTACCTCTCTATCACATTATTTCAAACCCAACCCATACCCAATCCATATTTCATAAAAAGTCCAAAAAACTCACTTATTTAGATCATGCCAAACCACCCCTAAATATTTCACAGGAAAATAGGTGATAATAATTATTTTCCTTGTAAAAGATTTTACGAACCAATCGGATTCAGAGTCTAAATGCATATGTACTGCAGTCTGTGCAGTCCTCCATAGTCAAGCCTTGTTTGAGAACAAGTTATTTTAATAACTTTTTAATTTTTTTATAAACAGATGTGCAGAAAAAATAGAGAGAGTGATGTAACGATTTATAATGACTTTTTGACTAAAATATATAGTTAACAAACAAGGTCTCACACTTGAATTAGGTATGTGAAAAAAGAATTTAAAGTTTTAAACTTGACATTGAATGATGTCATCATGTCTAATCCAACCGCAAGATGATTCATGTTTGGAAATTTTTTTATTTTTTATTTGATAAGTAATTATTCGTTCGATTTTGCAGCAAAAAGAAGGAAGTTCAACTAAAAATCAAACTTACATCATCCAGCAACATACTGTTGCAGTAATAACCAATGTTAGGTGGAACCTGCATCACATAATGTACATTAGCCATGTGCAAAAATAATAATTAATTAATTAAAAAAAATCTGAAATAAATTGACTGGAAGCAAAGCAAATAACATGTCTTCCTAAACATTATTAGCAAGCTTAGTGAATTACATGAATCTAGATATCCCATTTTATGGATTCAATAGCCAATAGAAATTAAGAGATATCACAACATGTAGTACAAAAGCCGATCAACCTATTCGATCAGAATATGTATCCCGTATTATCAAAGCCATCGTTCAGACTTTACCCTCCTATGCCATGTCTTGTTTTGAAATGCCACACTCTTTTTGCTCTAAGCTAAATTCTCTCATTCAAAACTATTGGTGGAAAGGGGATCCGGATAACAAGGGCATCCCTTGGGACAGTTGGGATCATATGACAGTCCCCAAAAATCAAGGAGGTACGAGCTTCCGAGATTTCAAAGCTTTTAATCAAGCCTTACTTGCTAAGCAAGTTTGGCGCCTCCTTAAGAATCCTAACTCTTTTTGGGCACGTGTGTATAAAGGCCTCTACTTTCCAAATTCCAATTTTTTGCAAGCATCCAGAGGCAAGAGAACATCTTGGGCATGGTCGAGCCTCCTCAAAGGCAGAGCACTCCTCCAAACTGGGCTCCGATGGCAAATCCAAAACGGCAACCTTGCTCACTTTTGGGAGGACAAGTGGGTACCCTCTACTAAAGATTTCAAAATTGCTTCCCATAAACCCCCTTACTGTAATGTTCAAACAGTCGCTGAAGTTATTGTTCCCACTCGCAAAATATGGAAGCGTGAAATTCTCAAAGAGTGGCTTTCGCCAAAAGATTTAGAGGCTGTTTTCGCCATCCCAATTGCAGCGGTTAACAGAGATGATCTTTTAATATGGCACCATAATCCATCGGGAGTTTATTCTGTTAAGTCGGGCTATGCCTTAGCCAAGCAGATCTGGCACAACTCCAATGGTTCTAACAAGCCCTCCGGATCTCTCATCCTTGGTACAGATTTTTGGAATTCCATTTGGGCTCTTGATATCCCTCCCAAAATCCGTCACTTTTGGTGGAGAGTATGCCATAATTTGTTGGCAACAAAGCTGGGTCTGTTTAGGCGTAAATGTGCATCATCTGGTGAATGTCCTATCTGCAGGAAAGATGATGAATCTGTGGAGCATCTCCTTTTTGATTGTTCCTGGACAAAAGCTGTTTGGTTCGGTAGCTCTTTAAATATGCGAGCGGATCCGGGCTTGATTACAAATGTGACCAGGTGGACCAATGACCTTTTGCAAGGAGGTAATCCAAAGACTGAATCCAAACGCATCATCAGTTTAGTTGCTACTGTTGCCTGGTTCATATGGAAATCTAGAAATGATTTTGTCTTTAATCATCAAGTGGTGGACTCCCATGTTACTTTGCAAAAGATCACTCATTTCTGGCAAGAACAAGATGATCTAAATGGCTCTTTCAACCCTCTCAATCAGGCCACAGCCATCCCCAACCATAATTCCCAATTAGGTTGGCAGCCAGCTTCCCACAATAGAGTCAAATTTAATTGCGATGCAGCTTTTTGTAAGACTTCCTCATCAGCTGCCTTGGCTATAATTCTTAGAGATTCAAAGGGAAACCTTCTGGCTGGTTGTGCTCAGTCTTGCAAGGCTTCGTCTGCAGCACAAGCTGAGGCACATGCAGTTCGTCTAGCGTGTCTCATGGCTAAAGCTCTCAATCTCTTGCGAGTGGAAATCGAAAGTGACAACAAATCGGTGATCTCTCTTTGCGTTTCCGGAACAGTTCCACCATGGGAGTATAGTGCCATTATCCTGGACATTCGAGGACTTGCTTCCCCACACTCTCTATCTTTTTCCTGGACAAGCAGAAACAACAATGAAGCAGTACACTGGGTTGCAAAGGCTTGTCTTTCTAAGGCCTTACCTGTAAATTGGGCTGTATGCCCACCTGCTCCTCTTGTTTCCATACTTAGTTCTGATGTTTCCCATTATCCTCTTTAATTGAAAGTTTAGGAGTTCAAAAACTAAAAAAATATTACTAGAATATCTTCACCTGATATTAACAAAATATCCAAAACCTTAGCTTAGCCAGCCTCAATCAGCCCAATAGCTAGTTGAACATCATATTATATGCATTAAAAGGTTCAATGTTTTTAAACTTTTTTTTAACAGGGGATTTTGTTTCTAATTTTTCAAGTCACATGAAAGAAACAAAGATTTCTTACTTCATATTTTCCAGACACATTTCACATCTCAATATTAGTTTTGCAGAAATATATGAAAGAAAAGGGGCATTGCTCAGTGCAGGTTTGAGTCTTCTTCCAATGTTACCCATCCCAACATCCTCAATTACTGGGACCAACACTGGGTAATGATCTTTAGAATCTTATGAAACAATCAATCAACTGAGTACCTCCCAAATTCATAAGTACACTAGTTCCCTCCTTAAACAAAATTAAAAAAAGATTTGTATTCTGAAATAACAAAAAAAGAAAAGAAAAGAAAAAGATTGTATCAACAAAAAATTAGGTTCCTTCCTGGTGATTCTAAATGCAATTCATAAGAAAAAGAACTAAAACCTAAGTCCAAAATTATGGCCTTTCAAATTGGATAAATCCAAAACTGTTCAGAATCCAATCCAATTTACGAGAGAGAGAAATTGAAGAATTGAAACGTACAGATTTGCAGAAGGACCTTTGTTGTAACAGATTCTGGTACAGAGAGAAACAATGAATCCGATCGCGACAAAAATTAGGCTTGTCACCGAAAACCCCATTTTGATTTTGATTTCGATTTCACCCAAAGCTATGAAGCTTCTGCAATGAAATATATTGAATTCAAACTCGATCTGATCCGAATTCAACAAAACCAAATTACATGGTTCGATCTGATCTGAAAAATGCAATGTTATTATCTTTGATTGCGTTTGCAAACTGTAAATCCGAACAATTCAACAGAATTGGAACCCACAGAAAAAAGCTTTATTTTATTTTTGGTCAGAAGAAAGAAAAAAAGAGGGATTACAAATATGAATTTAAACCGAAGTCTGTACGAGCTGTATGTGCAGAGTGAAGAAACGAGACGCTTAGACGCTGTTTGGAGACTTACCTTTTTAGTCAAAAGTTAAAAAGTTATTTTTTTAGTCAAAAAGTCAATAATTTATATCTAAAAGTCAAAAATTCTTTTTTCTCTCTACTTTTTACACATCTTTTCACAATTAGCCAAAAAATCATCCCAATCATATAAATTTTTTTTACCTACTTTCCTTAGGCTCCACTTGTTGTGCAGATTATAGTTCTCCTATTATTTTATTTTGTGCTTTTAAATTATAATTTTATATTTATTTTTAAAAATTTAATTTGAAATATAATTATTATTCATCAAATACATAATTCAAAATTATTTTTAAAATTTAATTTAAATTAATATTTTATATTTTAAATAATTATATTTTAATTTTTTAAATATTTTAAATATTTAAATATTTTAATTTTGTTAAGATTTTAAATATTTAAATATGTTAGGATTTTTTTAATTTTTAAATTTTTTGAATATTTTTAAATATTATGATTTTAATTTTTTAAATATTTTATAAAAATAAATTCAAACTCTATTTTATAAAAATATTTTTAAATATTTTTTTTGTTATATATTTGGTTACGATTTGAGTGTAGAGGTGTGAAAGTAGTATGGAGTTTCGAATTATGTGTTTGGTTATGAGTTTTAAAAATAATTTCTTAATTAAGTTTTGTTTTATGTGTTTGGTTACGATTTGAGTGTAGAGTTTTTTTAAATTTAAAATATTAAAATTTTAAATTATTTAATTTTTTTGAATATTTAAATTATTTAAATTTTTATGATTTAAATTTTTTGAATATTTATTTTGAAAAAAATTTTATTTCCTTTGTAGTATTTTCAATTAAAAAATTGATTAATGTTATTTTCTGTTAATAATAATTTTTTTTAATTAAATTTTAAAAAGGGTTTGATTATAAGTGTTGATCAGAATTTTTAATATTGTGAAAGTAATGTGTTTTGTTATGAGTTATAACAATTTGAATTAAAAAGTTTTGAAAATTCTTTTCAAAACTCATAACCAAACAAATTTTCTTACTTCACATGTCAAATCAAACTTTCAAAATTCAATTCCACACTCAATTCAACACTCTATTAAAAAATCATAACCAAACAAATTTTCTACACTCAAATCATAATTTCAAAACACATAAACTCAAAATACAATTCATATTTTCAAATCATAGTTAGAAAGTCTTACCAAATGGAGTCTAATACACTTTAGAGGATTAAACAAGGGAAATTGTGACGCTCCAAATTTTTTTTTTTGAAACGTCATAAGATTTAAATAACAATAACTTGCTAGATAAAATTTTAACTACTAATTAGGAAATTTTAAATTCTTACATAGTCAAAGTCCAACAACAAAATATAATTACAAGTTCACACACAACGTCACAACATAGTTAAACTCTAATATAAGAAATAACAGGATTTTATTTTGATAAAACCTTGACTCTAAGTTAGCCAAGGTTCGATATTAGCAGCAGCTCCAATTTCAGCCTCAGTCCATTCTTCGACATAATCTGGCATGAAACACGAGGGCAACAAAATATATGCCATGAATTTTGCAATACAGTAAGAAAACATAACCAACTTATCATTCTTTTTGAGAGAAAATAATAAGATTATAAACACGAGATAATAATATAATTGTAAACATAAATTACAACCATTAAAATACCTCAAATAATTTTAATAACTTAGGTGACCTTTGAAATCTCGTCAAAGAGGTTTAACTTACCAACCACTAAGTCATGGCCACGGTTAATTTGGAAACCCCCCTTGGTCAAATATTCAAGAACTACCAAAGATGCCCACGCCCGGAGTTATATACCCAAGCCGTGACATCCGTGGTCTGCCCCAAGGGAACGATCTGGCAGGGGTACGTAACTTCCCTGCGTGCCACCCGCACATCCACCCTTATTTTAAAACCAAATACCTATAAGGGTTCAAATAATCCTCATGCCAACTTAGGGTTTCGCGACACAATTTACTTAAAAATTATTAAAAATCAGGACTCACCCTGAATACCCGGTATTAAAATTTATAAATAAATTATTTACACAATTCTAAAATTGTTGCCAAAATTACTGGATGAACTAGACATCATTATCAACAATTTTGTAGAAGAAATCATCTCGAAATTTTGAGTATAAAATTGTCTAAAAATTCGGACAAACATGCTGGCAGATTCAAAACAGATTATTTTCAACACAGTTTCAGATTTAGTAAAAATATTTTTATAAACTCTTAGAAAGCTCAAAAATTGTTGCCAAAATTCCTGGATGAACTAGACATCATTATCAACAACTTTGTAGAGAAATCATCTTGAAATTTTGAGTATAAAATTGTCTAAAAATTCGGACAAACATGCTGGCAGATTCAAAATATATTATTCTCAACACAGTTTCAGATTTAGTAAAAATATTTTTATAAACTCTTAGAAAGCTCAAAAATTGTTGCCAAAATTCCCGGATGAACTAGACATCATTATCAACAACTTTGTAGAAGAAATCATCTCGAAATGTTGAGTATAAAATTGTCTAAAAATTCGGGCAAACATGCTGGCAGATTTAAAATAGATTAGTCTCAACACAGTTTTAAATTTAGTAAAAATATTTTTATAAACTCTTAGAAAGCTCAAAAAATGTTGCCAAAATTCCTAGATGAACTAAACATCATTATCAACAACTTTGTAGAAGAAATCATCTCGAAATTTTGATTATAAAATTGTCTAAAAATTCGGACAAACATGCTGGCAGATTCAAAATAAATTATTCTCAACACAGTTTTAGATTTAGGAAAAATATTTGTATAAATTCATAGAAAGCTCAAAAATTGTTTCTAAAATTCCTAGACGAACTAGACATCATTTTCAACAACTTTGTAGAAGAAATCATCTCGAAATTTTGAATATAAAAGTGTCTAAAAATTCGGGCAAACATGCTGGTAGATTCAAAACAGATTAGTTTCAACACAGTTTCAGATTTAGTAAAAATATTTTTATAAACACTTAGAAAGCTCAAAAATTGTTGCCAAAATTCCTGGATGAACTAGACATCATTATCAACAATTTTGTAGAAGAAATCATCTCAAAATGTTGAATATAAATTTGTCTAAAAATTCGGGCAAACATGCTGGAAGATTCAAAACAAATTATTCTCAACACAGTTTTAGATTTGTTTCAGATTTAGTAAAAATATTTTTATAAACTCTTAGAAAGCTCAAAAATTGTTTCCAAAATTTCTGGATGAACTAGACATCATTATCAACAATTTTGTAGTGAAATCATCTTGAAATTTTGAGTATAAAATTGTCTAAAAATTCGGGCAAACATGCTGGCAGATTCAAAACAGATTATTCTCAACACAGTTTCAGATTTAGTAAAAATATTTTTATAAACTCTTAGAAAGCTCAAAAATTGTTTCCAAAATTTCTGGATGAACTAGACATCATTATCAACAATTTTGTAGTGAAATCATCTTGAAATTTTGAGTATAAAATTGTCTAAAAATTCGGGCAAACATGCTGGCAGATTCAAAACAGATTATTCTCAACACAATTTCAGATTTAGTAAAAATATTTGTATAAATTCGTAGAAAGCTCAAAAATTGTTACCAAAATTTCTGAATGAACTAGACATCATTATCAACAACTTTGTAGCAGAAATCATCTCGAAATTTTAAGTATAAAATTGTCTAAAAATTCAAGTAAACATGCTGGCAGATTCAAAACAGATTATTCTCAACACAGTTTCAGATTTAGTAAAAATATTTTTATAAACTTTTAAAAAGCTCAAAAATTGTTGCCAAAATTCCTAGATGAACTAGACATCATTATCAACAACTCTGTAGAAGAAATCATCTCGAAATTTTGAGTATAAAAGTGTCTAAAAATTCAGGCAAACATGCTAGTAAATTCAAAACAGATTATTCTCAACACAGTTTCAGATTTCGTAAAAATATTTTTATAAATTCGTAGAAAGCTCAAAAATTATTTCCAAAATTCCTGGATGAACTAGACATCATTATCAATAACTTTGTCGAGAAATCATCTCGAAATTTTGAGTATAAAATTGTCTAAAAATTCAGGCAAACATGCTGGCAGATTCAAAACAGATTATTCTGAATACAGTTTTAGATTTAGTAAAAATATTTTTATAAACTCTTAGAAAGCTCAAAAATTGTTTCCAAAATTCCTGGATGAACTAGACATCATTATCAACAACTTTGTAGAAGAAATAATCTTGAAATTTTGAGTATACAATTGTCTAAAAATTTGGGCAATCATGCTGGCAGATTCAAAACAGATTATTCTCAACACAGTTTCAGATTTAGTAAAAATATTTTTATAAACTCTTAGAAAGCTCAAAAATTGTTGCCAAAATTCCCGGATGAACTAGACATCATTATCAACAACTTTGTAGAAGCAATTATCTCGAAATGTTGAGTATAAAATTGTCTAAAAATTCGGGAAAACATGCTGGCAGATTCAAAACAGATTATTCTCAACACAGTTTCAGATTTAGTAAAAATATTTTTATAAATTCGTAGAAAGCTCAAAAATTATTTCCAAAATTCCCGGATGAAGTAGACATCATTATCAACAACTTTGTAGAAAAAATCATCTCGAAATGTTTAGTATAAAATTGTCTAAAAATTCGGGCAAACAAGCTGGCAGATTCAAAACAGATTATTCTCAATACAGTTTCAGATTTAGTAAAAATATTTTTATAAACTCTTAGAAAGCTCAAAAATTGTTGCCAAAATTCCTGGATGAACTGGACATCATTATCAACAACTTTGTAGAAAAAATAATCTCACAATTTTGAGTATAAAATTGTCTAAAAATTCAGGCAAACATGCTGGCAGATTCAAAACATATTATTCTCAACACAGTTTCAGATTTAGTAAAAATATTTGTATAAACGCTTAAAAAGCTCAAAAATTGTTGCCAAAATTCCTGGATGAACTAAACATCATTATCAACAACTTTGTAGAA